GGTCTTTAAAAATCAGTACTAGGTGGGTCTTTACTGCAACCTCATCACTTTCTAACCTTGGAAATGGTTTCAAAATGGGGGGAGGAGACCTGAAATTATGAGGGCGAGGGGATTATTGGAGATTTGCCTTGGAAGCTTCCACATAACCGTCATTGCCATTTATCTTTCCATTCTCCATACTTGGCAACCTTAGCCCTAAACCTCAGTGTGCACTTCACTTTCCCTTGTGCTTGCCATCTGTTCCTCCATTAGTACAACATGGCCTGTAAGCCCCGAATGCTGTCTTGCCTGCGCCTATGCTGCGTTTTCTTCGCGATGCATTTGGGGGGGGGGGGGTCCTTTGAGGGTAATGTTAAAGAACGACGAGTGTTGGGGGCCACAAACAAATCCAACAAACAGTCAATATTCCACATTCATTTGTTGGTGGGCCATTAATTTAAAGATACCTTTCTCTCTCGTAAAACTGTTGAGGAAAGCTTAATGCGGAGGCCAGAAAGCTAGTCATATTGAAGGCCCAGCCTTCAAATATAGATGCCAGGATCAGGCTCTGGCATCTGGAAACTGGTGTCATCAGAAATTGCAGGTTTGTCAGCTTCCATGAATGGAGGCCCCAATATACACCCCAATGTACTACTACAACCCTTATTATACGAACCGGAGCATTCATTATAAGGTGGCGTACTGCAAGGAGCAATAGGGGATCTACGTCCATTTAGTTAAAGTCAATTAAGTACAGTCAGCCAATGTCAACCAACATTCAACTAAGATTTCACTCATATCACTTTAGTCAAAACCTAGAAAATCGGACATTTAAAGCCCTTGTAAATCGTGATAAAATCATTTTAACTCTGATCAAAGTATATATGAATAAATTAAAGCCGTATTAAACTCAAGTAACATCACATTTAAATTGTATATGAACTCTTTTGTCAGAATTTTTGACAAAAAGACAATAGAAACCCAGCAAATCAAGGGGCTCTCTTCTTCCCTTAGATTTTTTAACGATAACCCCCTAACCTCAGAGCCAGAGTTCATAGTGGAGGGCTCATGATTTAGGGTTTAGGG